CAGGAAACATTCATTAATAAAAGCCCACAAGACAGTCAGATGGTGAAAATAATGGGAATGCACAGTATTCTAAGCAGACAAAGTGCTTTATTGTATTTGAGCGAATGGAGTATATTATTATTATCATTATGTGTTGAACAATAAACATCATAGAACATGAGTTAGCCTCCCTCACAGAACACAACAGTTTACTCCCACTGGCCACATTCACCAACAGCAGACAGCAATACACACACAACGCTTTAGCAACGCTTAGCAAGGACTCTGGGTCACCATTACAGACTTGACACAATCTACAGGGAAGATCTCTCACCAAAACCTTTATAGTCATCTAGTCGGTCTGCATATTCAATCCAACAAACTACTTATTTATTTTGTAACAGTATTCTGTTTTATTGGAGTTGATTCCATGAGTATTATCGACTTCAAATCCTTTCTGAGGGATTGAGAAAATTCAGCCCCTGCAGATTCTGTCAAGCCCAAGTCATCATGTCTTATTTCCCAAAACAGTTAAAACTCCACAGATAAACCTCACACCCGTCTGTCCCAATAGCTGTGAACATTAACACCCATCTGTCACACACACACACACACCCCTCCAAACGTTCTCCCATTAAAAAATTTACAGATTCAATCAAACCGGTACATTTACACCGTACAATATTTTAAAGCTAATATGTGGGGTCGTTTTGACTGTAGATGGATGCACATAGATAGGAAAAGTTGCTTTTGGCAAAATGGTGGGTTTAGTAGGGCGACATCGGGACATTTACGCAGAGGGTGAGGGTTGAAGGATCAGCCAACAATGGACAAAACCAGCCACCTATATCTTAATGGACTGGGGCTCAGTGGGGATGGATAGATGTATTATTGTCCAAGTCTGTGACATGGCAGCATCTTCTCTATGGATCCAGCCGCCATCCTCCTACAGCAAAAAAAACCACTGTTTTCGCTCAGAAAGTGTGCTCACCATGACTACAGGAAGCCATCAAGGCCAAACAGAGCTGTATCCTCTTTTTGAGTCCCATTCGTGAGGAAAGTGAGAGCCGGTCAGTGGGTGGGAGGTGGAGCAGGTAGACGTTTTCCCTTAACCTAAAAGGTTAGGGCTTAGTGAGCAGTGACGATGCAGTGACATTAACATAAGATGGTGGACAGGGGGAGCGACTCCTAAGAGTGTAGACTGCATCTGAAATGGCACCTGATTCCCTAAATAGTGCACTACCCTTTGACCAGAACCCAGCTAACCCTAATCCTAAACCTACGTGGGATGTTGTCAAAATAATTGCAATGTTATAGGGAATATGGTGGCATTTCACACACTCAAACTTGAGAAGAAGCCATCAGAGGACAAGCACGACGAACACCATCACGACAGTCACAGACACGGACACACACACCACAGCCACGATGCACACAAACAGGTCTCTACTGAGACAGAAGCAGCGAGGAACAAATGGTTAACATCAGCACAGCTGCCATCTCCACACCAGGGAGGAGGTAGACGTTGTCCCTAGACACTGATCTATGTTCAGATTTGCAGTTTCCCCCCAAATGGTAAGGTTAGGATTTGGGGAAGGTAAGCTAGATCAGAGCCTAATGACTAAGTTCTACACATAAAATAACCTCCACATCAGAGACGGACATTTTAGTTTTTTTGTTTGAAAACTGAAAGTCAATAAAATTGTCAATTTGACTCCATAACAATAATAGATTGAAAATACCTACTACACAGGGATGGAGAAAAGGTGGGAAATAAAAGTGGGGATACATCTCAAAGTAACCACCCTATTATTAAAATAACCTTTTAACGTTGTAAAAAAAAAAAATATGTAAAAAATGTAAATAACTTGGAGGATAAAGGCACACCTCTTACACAGTGTATATGATGAAAACACAGTTTAAAGCATGGTAAGGAGAGACTCAGATGGGGTTAAGTCTAGGAGAGCTACAATAGATCTAAACAGCCAAGACATAGGAGAAAGAAACCGTATTCCTGCAACATGCATTTGTTTTGTTTTTACAGTACGTACAAGCATTGTACAAATTCAAGCAGTATCATTCTTCATATAACACAACACTGTCATTCACTCAAAGGGTGGTGCTTTAAAATACAATTATATTTAATGACTTAAATGCAATGTAAAAATATATGTGAATATAATCTATGCATCTAAAACAAAATGGAAGCTTTTTGCTTGGGTTAGAATAGTAGAGGAGGACGATGTCACTGGTTTAAGTTGGTTACCCATCACAGATACAACACCACAGACAGATTCTTCTCACTTGGTACAAGTTAGAGCCATATATAGAGACATAAACAGTATACACTGAGGAAAACATTAGGAACACCTGCTCTTTCCATAACATAGACTGACCAGGTGAATCCAGGTGAAAGCTATGATCCCTTATTGATGTCACCTGTTAAATCCACTTCAATCAGGGTTGATGAAGGGGAGGAGACAGGTTAAAGAAGGATTTTTAAGCCTTGAGACATGGATTGTGTGTGTGCCATATAGAGGGTGAATGGGCAAGACAAAATATTTAAGTGCCTTTGAATGGGGTATGGTTGTAGGTGCCAGGTACAACGGTTTGAGTATGTCAAGAACTGCAATGCTGCTGGGTTTTTCATGCTCAACAGTTTCCCGTGTGTATCAAGAATGGTCCACCACCCAAAGGACATCCGGCCAACTTGACAACTGTGGGAAGCATTAGAGTCAACATGGGCCAGCATCCCTGTAGAACGCTTTCGACACCTTGTAGAGTCCATGCCCTGACGAATTGAGGCTGTTCTGAGGGAAAAGGGGGGTGCAACTCATTATTAGGAAGGTGTTCCTAATGTTTTGTACACTCAGTGTGTATATGGCTCTGGTACAGGTATAATGATATTGCGTTTCCCTTGTTAAGACCACGGCAACCAGTTGGGATCGTGTGCATAACATTTGGTTCCTTTTTGTGCAAAATATACAAATTTACCAAGTCAATTCAAACCTGCCAAATTCAGAGATAAACAACAAGTCTGAATAACAGGCAGACAACAATGTTAAAAGGAGAGGCTGACAGGTTGGCATGACATCACCACTTAAACAACAAAAGCGTATTTTTCTACAACCCAGCACCTCTTCCCTACCCCCCCCCCTCCCTCCCCCCCCTCCCCCTCTCTCTCATCAAACACTGAGACACACGTCCGAGTCAGGCCTGAACCATATGTAGAGATCTTTGTCTGTCTCAGGGTTCTCCAACTCCGGTCCTGGAGAGCTACAGGGCGTGCAGGCTTTTGTTGCAGCCCAGCTTTAACACACCTGATTCAAATAACCAACTAATCAAGGTTTTCAGTCTGGACCACAATTAGCTGAATCAGGTGTGCTAGCGCTGGGCTGGAGTAAAAGCCTGCATACCCATTACCTCTTCAGGGCCGGTGTTGGAGACCCCTGAGACAGACAGATGTGGGTAAGACTCTGGTTCAGGCTGGTGTGTGCTGGTATGATGCCAGCGGTAAACACTAAGCTGTCTGTCCATCTTTCCTGAATGCACCCCTCCTCTCTCTCTGCTGCTCACTACATTCAGGCCCTGTCCCAAACCCACCTGTAGTCCCTCCTACCCCCTAGTCCCTTCCAGCCTAGACACTTTCCCTAGTCCTTACTACACCCCCTACATCCCCATCAGAAATCTTGGGGCTGAGTTTGATAGCTTCAAACAGTGCTTTTGTTGCAGCGCATGTAACAGAACAAGAGATCCTATCTTTAACAACATAAAAGTGCAACGATTTGTTTAAGGTGCTGATGACAATGCAGGGTCAAAGGTCCATGAAGTATCACACCACCGCCCTGCCCTGTCCCACAGGAAGTCAGACACACCAACTTCCTAATGTCACTTCCTGGTACCTTTCCAGAATGACACAAACCAGATCAGTCAGTGATGTCATGCTGTAAGACTGTAAGACAGGGAGCTGACCAGCTCCCTGTCTTACTAAACACAGCTCTACTGACCAGCTCCCTGTCTTACTAAACACAGCTCTACTGACCAGCTCCCTGTCTTACTAAACACAGCTCTACTGACCAGCTCCCTGTCTTACTAAACACAGCTCTACTGACCAGCTCCCTGTCTTACTAAACACAGCTCTACTGACCAGCTCCCTGTCTTACTAAACACAGCTCTACTGACCAGCTCCCTGTCTTACTAAACACAGCTCTACTGACCAGCTCCCTGTCTTACTAAACACAGCTCTACTGACCAGCTCCCTGTCTTACTAAACACAGCTCTACTGACCAGCTCCCTGTCTTACTAAACACAGCTCTACTGACCAGCTCCCTGTCTTACTAAACACAGCTCTACTGACCAGCTCCCTGTCTTACTAAACACAGCTCTACTGACCAGCTCCCTGTCTTACTAAACACAGCTCTACTGACCAGCTCCCTGTCTTACTAAACACAGTTCATCTTAACTTATCTTGTATATCGAGGGAGGGGTAGAGGAGAGCAGTGTGTGTGACAGGAAGAGTATGGAAGAGTAACATCCATTGCCAGGAGGAGGGTCTAAAAGGAAAGTGATGGATGAGGGGACAAATAGGAAGGTAGCTTTGGCTGGGGCAGGGCTGTACTAAATGGCGATTGGATGGTCTGGCTGAAGGCCTATTGGAAGACTGCTTCCTACTTCCTGAAGACGAGCGATTGGATTGGATAAGCCTCAAGGTGCACTTCCTGTTTACTTCATCCTATACTATTTACTCCAAGTGACGGCACTATTGTTATCCAATCACTGATCCCTGTTCATCCTCATTCTAACCCCCCCCCCCCCCCCCCCCCCCCCCCACCCCCCTCCCAACGGGGAATGCAGAACAAACAACAAACAAAAACAACAACAATGCAGGGTGAGGAAATGGTGTTAAGAGGCAGTAAAAAAAAACATTCCCAAAGTAAACAAAACAAGTTAATAAAAAAGTACTGACTAGAACCTAGAACACCTGTTCTCCTGTTCAATGTAACAGAGATCAAATCAACAGATGAGAAGATGAATGTAAACGAATGATGGTTTTAGCTGCTGAGAGGGACACCCCTGCTGACGGAGAGAAAGAGAGTGATACCCCCACCCATCCCTTCTCTCCTCTCTCCACTTGTTTTCCTCCATATCTCCTCTCCCTAAGTCCTCCTCCCCCCCTTCCCCTGGGGGCTATGAGAGAATGGTGGTGATAAAGTCGTAGAACCTCTTGGAGTACTGCTCTGGGTTCACCGTGGAGATCTCAGCTCCCGCCTGCAGGGGGAGACACACACACGGTGGAAGACAGTGAGTCAAGGGAAGAAACCCAAACACACAACATTCACACCAACGGAGGCGTAGGCATCCGACCTCACACACATACATACCCCGTGTTTGACGGTCTTGGCAGCATGAGCAGCCTTCTTCTTGGCATCGTAATGCTGCAGAATGTCAATGACCGCCATGAAGTACACCTCCTTCCTAGGAGCACCTGGACACAGACACACAGGATTATCCCTATATTATAAACTGGGTGGTTCAAGCCCTGAAGGCTGATTGGCTGACAGCCGTGATATATCAGACCGTATACCCCAATATGACAAAACATGTATTTTTACTGCTCTAATTATGTTGGTAACTAGTTTATAATAGCAATAAGGCACTTCAGGGGTTTGTGATACAGTGGGGGGAAAAAGTATTTAGTCAGCCACCAATTGTGCAAGTTCTCCCACTTAAAAAGATGAGAGAGGCCTGTAATTTTCATCATAGGTACACGTCAACTATGACAGACAAAATGAGGAAAAAAAATCCAGAAAATCACATTGTAGGATTTTTAATGAATTTATTTGCAAATTATGGTGGAAAATAAGTATTTGGTCAATAACAAAAGTTTCTCAATACTTTGTTATATACCCTTTGTTGGCAATGACACAGGTCAAACGTTTTCTGTAAGTCTTCACAAGGTTTTCACACACTGTTGCTGGTATTTTGGCCCATTCCTCCATGCAGATCTCCTCTAGAGCAGTGATGTTTTCACTCAAAATCTCACGATACATGGCCCCATTCATTCTTTCCTTTACACGGATCAGTCGTCCTGGTCCCTTTGCAGAAAAACAGCCCCAAAGCATGATGTTTCCACCCCCATGCTTCACAGTAGGTATGGTGTTCTTTGGATGCAACTCCGCATTCTTTATCCTCCAAACACGACGAGTTGAGTTTTTACCTAAAAGTTATATTTTGGTTTCATCTGACCATATGACATTCTCCCAATCCTCTTCTGGATCATCCAAATGCACTCTAGCAAACTTCAGACGGGCCTGGACATGTACTGGCTTAAGCAGGGGGACACGTCTGGCACTGCAGGATTTGAGTCCCTGGCGGCGTAGTGTGTTACTGATGGTAGGCTTTGTTACTTTGGTCCCAGCTCTCTGCAGGTCATTCACTAGGTCCCCCCGTGTGGTTCTGGGATTTTTGCTCACTGTTCTTGTGATCACTTTGACCCCACGGGGTGAGATCTTGCGCGGAGCCCCAGATCGAGGGAGATTATCAGTGGTCTTGTATGTCTTCCATTTCCTAATAATTGCTCCCACAGTTGATTTCTTCAAACCAAGCTGCTTACCTATTGCAGATTCAGTCTTCCCAGCCTGGTGCAGGTCTACAATTTTGTTTCTGGTGTCCTTTGACAGCTCTTTGGTCTTGGCCATAGTGGAGTTTGGAGTGTGACTGTTTGAGGTTGTGGACAGGTGTCTTTTATACTGATAACAAGTTCAAACAGGTCCCATTAATACAGGTAACGAGTGGAGGACAGAGGAGCCTCTTAAAGAAGAAGTTACAGGTCTGTGAGAGCCAGAAATCTTGCTTGTTTGTAGGTGACCAAATACTTATTTTCCACCATAATTTGCAAATAAATTCATTAAAAATCCTACAATGTGATTTTCTGGAGAAAAAAATTCTCAATTTGTCTGTCATAGTTGACGTGTACCTATGATGAAAATTACAGGCCTCTCTCATCTTTTTAAGTGGGAGAACTTGCACAATTGGTGGATGACTAAATACTTTCCCCCCCCCCACTGTATATGGCCAATATACCACGGCTAAGGGCTGTATCCAGGCACTCCGTGACAGCCCTTAGCAATGGTATATTGGCCATATACCACACCCCCTCTGGCCTTATTTCTTAATTATATAAAATGAAGCCTACCAGAGGGCTACAACCATACTGCTCATCTATTTGGTATAACCATACTGCTCATCTATTTGGTATTTCTGACCCACTGTTTTGAAGTGAACCCTTTACTTTTTAGTCTCCTGTACCACTCCTCCTATCCCTTTCCTCCTCCTCCCTCCTTCCCCCTCTCCACTCACTGTCGTTGCTCTTGATGGCATAGACGTCTATGGTGGGGTCAAACTCCCCGGGGGACAGGGGCTTGGTGCTGTCCAGGGTGTTACTGGGGGAGTCAGGGGGAGTGCCAATCCCTCCATCACTCTCCCCTTCATCGTCCCCCTCGTTGTCCTCACTCTCCACCTCCTCCTGCTCAGCCCGCTCCACGTCATGGATCCCCACCAGCAGACTGTAGTCCATCAGCTTCAACTGGGCCAGGAACTGGAGGGAGAGAGAGAGGGAGAGAGGGAGGAGACATAGAATAAAGTAATGGAGAGAGTAAAAGGGGAGAATAACATTTTAGAGTGAGACCAGGATTAATCCAACCCAAGTATTCATTCCCTCACACCAGAAGAAATAACAGAACCACAAACACACCTCCACGTCTTTACGTAGTTTCTCCAGGAACATTTTCTTGTTGTCATCGTCGATGTAGATCTTCTGTCCATCGTTGATGAAGTCGTTGTCCTTGTAGGTGGGCAGCTCCTTGGCCTGATGCCCCGCACAGACAGACAAACAGTCAGGACAGCAGAGGACACACCTGGACTTTATAACTATTTACATTATTAGAAAGGAGTCAGAATGAACACTCTTTAAAATGATCCTCTAACTAACTGACTCGTTGAATAAAGTGATCTGAATCATGTTTGTCTGTGACACATATAACAACAGTTCGAGACAAACAGTGTGAGCTCTATGGAGGCTTGTGAATTTCCATTGAGCCATCTGGCTACAGTACCATGTGTGGCCTGTGGTCTGCGGGGGGAGGGGGGGTGGGCGTTATTCTGTGGCAGAGAGGAAGGAGTGAGCAGGAAATTAGGTTACAGCAGCAGCACTGCTCAGAGAGCTGACAGAAGCAGTTCTATGGCAGCACGAGGAAAGCAGCCACACAAACCCACACACATATAGCAACAAACACAAAGACCACAAACAATGCTGCGATGGCCAAGGCACCCTTGCACACTCAAATGGGTGAACGTTGTAATAATGTGGAGAGTCAAACAGCAGGTAGACACTAGTACCAGCTACAGACAGCATCCTGAAAAGAATATACATTCCAGATATCCAGCCACCCATTCTATGCATCCTCAATCTCTTCCCAAACACCCATCTTCCTGATCAACCCCTCTAATCGCTCAATTATCAGTTCCATTCTCAGAGAAAGTATAGCGGAGCCCATACAAGCAGTAGATCAGGTACTGTACGTAATGGTTGTGGTTCAGAGGTAGACTGGGCTGACATGGTAGAGTAGCAGTAACAAACACCCGGGCTCCCGAGTGGTGCAGCGGTCTAAGGCACTGCACTGCATCTCAGTGCTTGAGGCGTCACTACAGACCCCCTGGTTAGATTCCAGGCTGTATCACAACCGGCCGTGATTGGGAGTCCCATAGGGCGGCGCACAATTGGCCCAGCATCGTCCGGGTTTGGCCGGTGTAGGCCGTCATTGTAAATAAGAATCTGTTCTTAACTGACTTGCCTAGTTAAATAAAGGTAAAATAAAAATAAAATAAAAAAACAGAATAGATGAAGTTGGATGAAAACAGCCACGAGAGAGAGAGATGGAGAGAGAGAAAGAAACAGATAAAGATGGGTTGAGAGAATGAGAGAGAAAGAGGGAGAAAACAAGAGAAGAAAGAGGGAGATCAAAAGGGTCATTGCACATGGCCTTCAATCAGGTGACCGAAGGCAGTTTTTTGATCATCATCATCACAGTGCGCTACAGGAAGTTTGTGGCACATCAGATGTGAGTGATGTCGCTCAATAGTGAATTTGTCACAGCTTGGGGAGAAAGAACAGGAGAATTGTACCAGATCACCAACTGAAGTATCAAAAATATACAGTCAAACCTCCAGGTAAATAAAAACAAAAGCAGTCAGTGAAACAGGTTGGTGTGATGATAGTACTGCAGGATTGTGATTAGTAGTCAGGAAGGACAGGAGAGGAGAGGCCAGGCCTGGTGGTGAGCAGCTGCAGCCCAGTGGTGCTGTACTCTGGGCATGCTCAGACAACAGCTGTTCCAACCAGCCACGTGTCTCTCTCTGCCTGCACGTCAACACTGAATGGGAATCTGGGTCAACTACACACAGGCTGCATCTGAAATGGCACCATATTCCCTATTAAGGGGACTACTTTTAGCCAGGGGGACTGATGGGCCCTGGTCAAAAGTAGTGCACTATATGGGGAATAGGGTGCTATTTCAGAAGCAGACACACACTCTCTGAGGTACAGCATCATCACACTGTGTGTGTGTGTTTGTGAGAGGGACAGGAAGTGAAAGTGATTGGTTGTGAGTCAATAGCCATAAAGGAAAAGGGGCAAAAACAGCAGTTTGAAAAACTGTTCCAGAACAAGCCAGTTCCGTCTGTCTGTTTCCTACATGCCAGTCCATTGCAGGTGTCCTGTCCTGTATCCGTCATGACATGAATCTGAAAAAAGCTATGAAAATAAAATGAGATACGATTGATCTGATAACTTGAGCATGCCTGGCCTTGGTTCTATAATATGATTTGATCTGATAGGTAGATAGATTGAGCATGCCTGGCCTTGTTCCTTACGTCTCTTACGTGTTTCATGGCGCAGTAAAAGCGTGTGGCGATCCGCAGCGTTTGCAGCCTTTGCTGAACGTTAGATTTGGGCCGCGGGGGCGCATCCTCAGGAGGGCGTGGCTGCTGGAAGAGGGGAGCGGGGGAGGGATGGAGGGAGGAGGATGAGAGGAGAGAGCCGGGGAAAGGAAGGAAGGAAGTTGGAAGGAAAGGCAAGTGTTTAGGAAATACACAAACTGTATTAGTTTTGTTTCAAGCGAGGCAAGGGAAGAGAGCTTCTGAAAGAGCGTACAGCCTGGCAAGTGCTGCTAGAAAAGCCAAGGTTGCGGGTTCAATTTCCGCAGGGATCACATACACATACTAAATTGTATGCTCTCACTGTACTGCAAATCGCTTTGGATAAAAGCATCTGCTAAGTGGCATATTATATTTCATGTAAACAGAATCTGCATATCCTCCGGTTTTGTGCGCATAAGGAAGAGCTATAACAGCTAGGGTGGCATTTCAGGTGTTCTTTTAGACTGCTGCTTAGACAGACTGTCTCAGGTAAAAGCCATGTCGCCTGTAGGGAGGGCCAGCCGGTAGCTAACAGTGTTAATAACAACACTACCAGCTGGCACAAGGAGCCCAGGGAGAGGAAACAACAACGTTAGATAGCAGAGATCTACAGTGGTAAACAGGTACCATGACAAATCTCTGGACCCAGGGGGACAGCTGGGAGTGCAGGCTTTTGTTCCAGCCCAGCACTAACACAACTGATTCCTAATCACATCACTATTCATGGTCTAAACATTGACTGTGATTAGATCACTTGCATTAGGTGTGTTAAGAGCTGGGCTGGAACAAAACCCTGCACAGTGCATACCGCAGCTCCATTGCCCACCCTGGCTGTAAACTATGAATATGTTCATGTAAAATAAAAATCCAGGTTCCATGTGAGGACAGTAGGACAAGTGAGTCCACAGCATGCAGCACAGAGTGGGGCTGGTCGGGGTGTTGGAGACACAAGCCTAGAGATGTAGGACCATGCAGAGAACATGCGAGAGAGAGAGAGAGGGGGGGGGGTTGGCATGCAGTCAGTCAAGAGGGCTTGTTGTTTGTGTGTGAAACCCTACACACCATACCGCTGTTACACACATTACACCACCTAACACATACTAACTACCATGTAGCTCAACACACACCAAATACCCTGTACCTCCATTCACCCCTCCAGTATTTATGAATACACAGCAGCGTCTATGGACACATCTCAGTCACAACTCTTAACCAACTAACCAATTAAATCAACCTAACCTGAAAATGCAGAAAATGTGCATTTCTAAAGCCAGTCTGCCATTAAAGATTAAACATGATAATGCATGTAGTCACGCCCGAACATACACACGACTACACTCAATGTGAGAAGGTGTTTTATTCAGTCATGTAATTGAACAGTGATGGTGGCTGGCCATGGCATGCCCGTTTACAGATTTCTGTGAGCATAGAATGTGTGTGTGTGTGTGTACACTGTATGTCAAACTTTTAAGACAAAACAGTACACAACTTGAAGGCCTGTGAATGCTGCAAATGTGGTCAAAGCAGAGGCAGCAGTAGTAGAAGCAGCAGAAGGTACTTATCGTAGTAGTACTGCGGCTGTCGTGGTTGGAAAATGAACAATTGAAGTCCTTCCACATCTTGGCTAGTCCGTTATCGCTGATCTGTCAGCAATAACTACTGGCATTTTGTAATAGTCACACATTTTCACACACCAAGCTGAGAGAAGAGAGTAGAGCTTACTGTGTAGTACAGAGTGTGTGATCAACGGCTTCTGTACTTCCATTTAAGTCCTTATTCTCTTTGTCAGATATATTTAGACTGAGGGGTTCCCCGAAGTTACAACGCCCCGCTGGTTCTGGTGTTCCACCCGGCCAAGCTTCTACAGTCGCTAGAGGAAAGATCCGGCCTTTCAGGGTCAAATGATGACCTGGCTACTCAGACACACACACATACACACACACGCACACACGCACACCCACACTAAACACAACGTCCAAAAACAGTATGCCGCAAAGAAGATTCCTGCCAACAGGGAAGGTTGCAGAATCCCAAAGCCTGTGTTCTGTTTGTACAACTACCATTGGCTGAATCACAGATATATATTTAGAATGTATGGCTCTGGGCTGAATCACTCATTCACTCTCAGAGAAAGTCTGCTCTCATTACCAGAAAACTGCCTCATACAACAAACAGCATCTGATCAAATAATCCAGGAATGTAAACGCACACACACAAAAAACATTCACTCTCTAGAAGACAAAGAACAAAGCATTTGGCACGCACACACACACACACCTCAGTCTCTCACACACAGACAGCAAGCAGGGGAAGCACTGGAACTGCTGTAGCAGTAGTAAACTGATGGAGCAAACTGAAGACACAGAGAGCGTGCAAGAGTATGGGGAGTATAATGGGCAGGGGTCTTAACAGAAGAGGATGGATGGCTTGAACTACCCCCCCACCCCCACCCCCACCCCAAAAACCAAAGCAAACCAGCTCAGTAGAAGTTGAGCCATGTAGTTGATGATGACAGAAGGAAGGGCAGGTAGGTAATGGACAGAAGCTATGTTGGTTTAAAGGACCAGGTGTTAACACACAGCTCCCTCCCTCCCTCGCACCCTCGGTTCCTCCACATGGCTTTTATAGGACAGGAAGTGGCCAGGAATCAGAATCAAACTCCATAATCAGTGTCTATATCAATACATTAAAACACACCATGTATAGGTCTGGTTGTTTTGTGTGTCTGTACTTTGTGTGTGTGTGTGTAAATTACTGTACCTTCTCCTTGTCGCTGGCCTCCCTGGCCACAGTGGAGCCCTGACAGACAGAAAGATGTCAGACATTCCTTTTTCCTTATAAAAGTCTACAACTATCTCTCCCCCCTCCCCCCCTCCCTCCCTCCCTCCCTCCCCACCTACCTTCCTCCCCACCTACCTTCCTCCCCACCTACCTTGAGGTCATATTTTTTGTAGACGGAGAGGCGGTGGGAGAAGACGTTCCTGGTGACGATCATGTAGGTCTCGTCTCCGTCCACCGTGAGGCGGTACATCCCCAGGAACTGAGGCAGCAGCGTGTTGCCATGACACTCCACTATGAACTAGAGAAATAGAAGAATTAGAGGAGAGTTGGATTAAGACTCACTTTGGTACTTCTTGAGGTGTGTGTGTACCTGGTGGTACTTCTTGAGGTGTGTGTGTACCTGGTGGTACTTCTTGAGGTGTGTGTGCACCTGGTGGTACTTCTTGAGGTGTGTGTGTACCTGGTGGTACTTCTTGAGGTGTGTGTGTGTACCTGGTGGTACTTCTTGAGGTGTGTGTGTACCTGGTGGTACTTCTTGAGGTGTGTGTGTACCTGGTGGTACTTCTTGAGGTGTGTGTGTACCTGGTGGTACTTCTTGAGGTGTGTGTGTACCTGGTGGTACTTCTTGAGGTGTGTGTGTACCTGGTGGTACTTCTTGAGGTGTGTGTGTGTACTCTTGGGTGGTGTACTGGGTACTTCTTGAGGTGTGTGTGTACCTGGTGGTACTTCTTGAGGTGTGTGTGTACCTGGTGGTACTTCTTGAGGTGTGTGTGTACCTGGTGGTACTTCTTGAGGTGTGTGTGTACCTGGTGGTACTTCTTGAGGTGTGTGTGTACCTGGTGGTACTTCTTGAGGTGTGTGTGTGTACCTGGTGGTACTTCTTGAGGATGTTGTGCATCTCGGCCACATCCTCACTGGTGATGGTTTTGATGACATAGCGTTTGTCATTGGAGGTGTGGAAGCGAGCGCCGCTCCGACCCTGAGAATCACTGTTCAACGGAGCCGCACGGGTCAGGGAGTTCTACACAGAGAGAGAACAGTGAATCACAAATGTCTATAAAAATCTGAAACTTCTTTTGAATCTATAGAGAGAATGTGAACGAGAAAGGGAGAAATTGTGGAGAGAGAGATAGACAGAGAAAGAGAGAGAGTGGGATTGTGTGTGATTGTCAGAGACAGCTGTAGTCAGGCAGGCCTCTAAGGCCCTGTTATCCCTCTCCCACACCCTCCAACAGCCCAGCCACTGTGTGTGGACAGACACCCCTCCTTCCCCTGGGTGTGTGCCACCCTCCTACCACCTCGTGCCCCCCAGCACACAGCTGATGCCCTCCAGAGTAACCTACCCCAGTCCTCTCTGTAACCCCCTCCATGTGTGCTTGTTCCTACCCTCAGCCCACTCCTTCTCCCTCCACCGTAATATAAACATGAGAGACAGCTTCAGAGGACCAGAAAACATTGACCTCCCTAATGCCAACACAGAGCACACACTCTACCCTGGGAACACACACAGACACAGACACAGACACAGACACAGACAGACAGACAGAGAGAGAGAGAGAGACAGACAGAGAGAGAAAGAGAAACTTGGCGATAACCATGAAATAAATCTTGCAAGATTAGGAAGAGAACAGAGAGAGAGAGGGGGCGAGAGGAGAAGAGAGCTGTTCAGTCTGCTTCTGCATGTGTGTACCTGGAAATCCTGGTCGTCGATGCCAAACCGTTCTCTAAGGTTGCGGAACACCAGAGGACAGTACTCCTTAAACTTGAAATGGCTCGGCATGTTCTCCCTACACACACACCAAAACATAGAGTCACAACACTGAGTACAAGCTGTTATTGTGGTAGTAGACATTTAACATCAGAGCAATTAAATTAGTGTGTGTGTGTACACTTACTTGTTGAAGAGGTGATTGTCCACCTTGATCTTGGAATAGGCCTTGAAGTCATCAGGCATCAGCATGATAGGGATCTGAACATGGCTCAACTCATTGATCTGAGAGAGAGAGAGAGAGAGAGAGAGAGAGAGAGAGAGAGAGAGAGAGAGAGAGAGAGAGAGAGAGAGAGAGAGAGCATATTGTCTTATTGTAGAGTAATGACTAAACATAAAACTCCCATCAGATTTAACTAATGTTAGTCAAGTCCAGAGGCTTGTTTTTTTATTCAAGATGAGCATACAGGACCTCAGACCTCCATACTCATCAAACCCCCTTCATCAGTCTCTTTAGCTCAGTGACCCTCATTCCTGGTTGTGCAGGCTTTTGTTCCAGCCCAGTACTAAATGCCTGAAGACTAACAGCCCATCTATTGCTGCCAACAACCGTGACTAGACATTCTGTATTTCATCTACTGCAAGAAATGTGAAACAAGGTTTTTGAATCCAACACATGGGACAGAGAGTGTGTGCGGAGGAGGAGGCAGGCAGGAACAGGGTTGTAGTCAAGATAGCCTCCAGACAGCATGGATCTTCAGAGCTGCCGTGACTCACACAGATTGAGGGATGGGGCTGGAGACAGATTGCCATACTCAGTTTCTAGCTGTCTGTGTGAGTGTTTGTGTGTCACTCTGCGCGTGTCATGCTGAGGCGCTGTTCAGGTCCACAGTCTATGGTTTTATTAACTACTTATTATAGCTGCCACTCCAGTCTTATAGGTCTGTTACAAACATAATGAGACCAGGGCCAATGACACATCATGGTTTTACAATTACCCAAGGAGAGGATCATTTCCATGTAAAAGGACCCATGTGCACCAACAAGTGAAGTTCATAGGAGCATGTCAAATTGGGTGTCAAATGAAAGCAAAGAGTCAATCTTTTTGAGAAATTAAGGCATATATACATTTTTCCACCCAAAACATTCGATTTCTGGTCGAACAGATGGAAAAGGGGTCTTAGAAAAAACCTCTAGCAGAAAAAGTCTTAAAGGGTAACTCTCAACCCCAATCTCAGCCTTTGCCCAACCCCATCAAATGTAAAACAAAATTGCTCATAAATATTACTTTTTGGGGGTGGGTAAACATAGTTGTATCTGATCCCAACTCTTTCTCACTAAAACATACCTACAGTGCCTTAGGAAAGTATTCAGACCCCTTCACTTTTTCCACATTTTGTTATGTTACAGCCTTATTTTAAAATCGATTAAAAACAAATTTTTCCTCATCACTGTACACACAATACCCCATAATGACAAAGCAAAAACAGGTTTTTAGAAATGTTTGCTAATTTATATATATATAAAAAAAAAAAACGAAATGCCAAGAGTGTGCAAAGCTGTCATCAAGGCAAAGGGTGGCTATTTGAAGAATCTAAAATATATTTGATTTGTGAACACTTTTTTGGTTACTACATGATTCCAAATGTGTTATTTCATAGTTTTGATGTGTTCACTATTATTCTACAATGTAGAAAATAGTAAAAATGAAGAAAAACCCTTGAATGAGTAGGTGTGTCCAAACTTTTGACTGGTACTGTGTATATACATATATATACACATACATATATATATATTTTTTACATTTACATTTTTAGTCATTTAGCAGACGCTCTTATCCAGAGCGACTTACAGTTAGTGCATACATGTATAATTATTTTTTTTCCCATACCCCCCGTGGGAATCGAACCCACAACCCTGGCGTTGCAAACGCCATGCCCTACGAACTGAGCTACATCCCCTGCCGGCCATTCCCTCCCCTACCCTGGACGACGCTGGGCCAATTGTGCGCTGCCCCATGGGTCTCCCGGTCGCGGCCGGCTACGACAGAGCCTGGATTCGAACCAGGATCTCTAGTGGCACAGCTAGCACTGCGATGCAGTGCCTTAGACCACTGCCCCACTCGGGAGGCTACTGCTCGACTAAAGAAATCTTGGTCGACCAACAGCCTATCGACCAAACAATCGACCAGTCGACTAAATGGGGTCAGCCCTAATTTCTGTGTAGTACAGATCAGGGACCAATAATGAAATTCCACTTCATTTACTGTAGGTTCAATAACCCAAAAATATTTTTTCTAAATTCAGTGTCAAATCAAATCAAAACATAGCTGACACCCCATTATTTCCGCGGATATCTTTGAATCTGAATTCGGAGCAGATATTCAACAGAGTTTTTGGACAACGTGGACAAACGTGGGCATACATTATAAGTGAAAAATCTGAGTCTCAGCGCAATTCCGTTATATTCTGTCATTTCTGTAAGAACTTGATTAAAAAATGTACCATAGCTAAACGTTTATGTTGCAATCCAATATAGTGGAAAAGTATCGATATCATCTTATCATATCATCCTGTTTTAATAGGTAGTGGGCCAATATGCCCCTGTCATGTGGGATTGATGCCTGCATCTCTCGCCTAATGCTGAAGGATCCACACAACAGACGGTGTAGAATATGGTCTCAGCAGGACTCTACTCCTCCTCTAGACCAATTCAGGTGTAATAACATCCGAAAGAGAGCGAGACTGCAGCTTGGTCCAGGAGGAAAGGAGACAAGGAAAGGAAGCTAGTGGACTTCAGGAGGGGGCAGGAACTTGATAGATGTTAAGGAGAGAGAGACTGTGGGGTGCCAGGTAACAACGTCACCCAGAGAGACTGTCAGTGATGTGGGGTGCCAGGCAACAACGTCACCCAGAGAGACTGTCAGTGATGTAGGGTGCCAGGCAACAACGTCACCCAGAGAGACCGATGCATCCTGTGTACATCAGAAGGAGACGTCCCCACATCACAAAGCTCTATTTCACACACAGTACAGAGGCAGGAGAGAAGACAATGCCCCTAGACACACACCTCCACTTCCATTCTCATGCCTGTAACTGATCAGATACACATGCAAAGCAGGTGAGGCTCTCTCTTATCATCGGAGGGGAGATGAGCGACATGACCTCTGTGAAAGTAGTCAGTCCACCCCCCCCTCCCGCACACGCACACAGAGACAGAGGAGTGGCACAGGGCCAACCTTCAGGAGGCAGGCAGCAGCAGCAATGTATTCTGGGGGCTGACAGTGACAGAATACAAACATCTCCCCTGAAAGAAGCAGGATTACTAGTCTCTCTGTCTAATTATATCATGTTGCATTCATCTGTTCAGTCAGGCAGGCAGGATTTAGCCCAGAATGAAGAGAACCACATAGAACAGCATTCCCCGGACCTCTAGGTTTTCGAATACCCTGACCGGTCTATGGATGTGTTCCAAATGGCACCCTATTCCCATTATAGTGCACTACTTTAGACCAGGGCCCAGAAGTAGTGCACTATAAAGGGAATAGGGTGCCGTTTGGGACGCATCCTATATATTCTAGTCACTGTGTTCCTTGGCCTGTTCTTATCACCTCGGAGTGAAACTGAGTGATGCAGAGTGCAGCTCTCATGTTTATGTTGTGTTTAATCTCCTCCTCTGATGATGACTCTTATCTCTCTGCAGCGCGTCTATCTCCCTCTGTCTATCTCAGCCTGGCCAACTTTCACAGTGCCATTTCCTGTTCTTCGTCGCCTTGGTGACGGAGTTTGGGGTTTCCGCCTCGGAGCAGAGTGAGTGCGCTCCGTGGCCCCAGTGGACAGGAAGTGGGAGAGGAACTCAGCACAGGGAGCCTAATTTCTCATAACACCCTCTCTGACTGACAGACACACAGTTCTCTGACTGACAGACAGACACACAGCTCTGACTGACTGACAGAAACAGCGCTGGCTGGTGCACCTGCTGACAGATCACTGGTACTTAAGTCAAGATAACCAGTTGTTACATGTATGGAAGATATAACAAGTACAACCAGTCTATACTCAAACAGAGCAGTACTATGGGACAGGCTAGACATTACTATGGTACAGTCACAGTACATAGGCCTACTATAGCAGTTGGTGCTTACCGCTTAGTGACCGATTTAATGTTTGTTTGACTATAAAAGGGACAGATTTAGTAAGTGTAGCTGGTATGTAATCTCTCCTAGCAGCACTGACAGAGATATACTGCTCTAAACCGGATGACACCTGTTCAGGATAGTGGTCATATTACGCACATCGAGATCCAGCACATTTCACAGGTGCAATTGTGTACAAATCTGGCCTATCACATGAAAGGGTGCAGAATGCACAGTTAGGCTAGTTAGCAATATTTCCACCACTGTGTGTCTTGGAACAAAATAGTGTGATGTGATAAAACAAATAGGGTAAACCCTGTTCAATCTGTCTCACTCCCTCACGTCTTCTGCACCCCAACAGTAACATCTCAAAGAAGACAGGCAACCCGGTCCTTGTGATGGTTAACAATTCAGCCTGGTAGTCTCATTTCAGTCATCATGTGAAGAGAAACCCGCATCATTGCGTGTAATGTAGAATTAAATTATCGGTCTCCCAACCCCCATAACCCACCCGCACCCTCAAGTCAAGCGACAGCCTGCTTCTCCACGCCCCCAGAAACAAGCTCGGCTGCTTGGGGAAATGGGCTTTCAGCTCGACTGCCCCCAGCGTCTGGAATGCCCTGCCGGACCACCTGAAGGTAGGGCTGGGCGATATATCGAATTCATGCAAATTAATGTTTTTGCACGATATTCCAAATGCCTGTATCGCAAGAATCACGTTTTTATTTTTATATGAACGTTTATGTCCACTTGTTGTCTTTTTGGTCTCGTCTCCTTTGCTCCTTCTGTGCACCTTCCCATTTACACCAGAGATCTGGATATAATGACGAGAAGCACGTCTCTGCCCTAACAATGGGAGTCTTTCTCCCAAAGGCAGGAAGCCAGGTGACAAGGTCCAAAATAAGCCCATAAAAACACATTGGGCTTATTTTTGCCAGAGTGAAACCGCACGTTTCCCCTCTTTCTCTGGTTCACTCACACACACACACACACACACAAAGCCCCTCACAACAACAAAGATGAGAGACCACGTCTTCCTCTCTGACGTGAGGTTTCAACTCGCTATTTGCATTTGAGGTTTGGTCCAACAGAATTGGTCATATGGACACCGAAACATATTGAGACATTATGCTACCGTAATAGAGGAAAA